GAATTATGAACTTTTTATAAATAAATTTTATAATAATTGGGGTTTAATATTTTCGAATTTTTTATTTAAGTCTAATTTTACAACTCTTAACTGAGGTTCAACTTATTTTTCATCTCTTTCCAATTCTAGCATTAGAAAGGGATGAAAAATAAGTTCTTCAAGTAAAAACTTCAGTTAAGAGTTAACCATAAGTTGTGAAACTGCCCTATTTTTGAATACACACATATACATATATATATATATAATTTTTGTATACGAAAATGATAGGTTCTCGATTGTGATTGATCGATTATATATGGAACTGCTATTTCTGTATGCGATATTTGTTCAAAAATAGAGTCTCTGGAGCTTAATTTTCAATCAGTTTAGCTTTTCCAGATTTTCTATTAGAAGATACAATATGGTATGAGCAGCTATTCATGCAGGGATGCTATCAATTCGATAAATTTAGATCATGTGACCAGCAGATAAAGCAGAGATTGCGCTATCTATTGCATAAACGAATGCACCCATTGCTTGAGATTAAGAACTACGAATTTCGGCCTTAGGATTATGGCACATAAAAAAAATTTAAGCAGTAAACATAAACAGTGAAGCGAATTGACCAATCACAGTAGAGATCGCAAGATCACAATGTAATAGCACATATGTAGTAGCGAATCCAATATGTTGATTTCCTTACTGCTAGAAGATATGTACAATTTCATGTACTGCTAAAATAAGTAATTGGAACGACAAATCTGTCGCTGTTATTCAAGCGGCTGAAATTTTATAGTTTAAACGGCTAATAACATATTTACATACATATAATAATTACAAGTGTCAAAATGCTGTTGATAGTGCTGCCGCACAGTCGTTTGTATTGACCAGTATGACTCTAGCGTTGATTGTGAAGTATAGAGAATAAAAGGCCGAACTTACATGAACGAGGCCGTCAAAAAGCGTAGTCAAAAATGGTCATCTGAATTAATTCGATCGAGATGTCGCTTTCGTTCCACTACACCGTTCTCGCAGTTTGCATGGCAAGTCATAATTTTACATGAAGAATGCTCCAGGAATAAGGAATTAGGAATAAGGAATAATGATTTCAATTAGAAACCTATTAGAAACCATGTATTCCGATGTATCTGATAGGTTAAAATCGTTATTCTTTATTTCTAATTTTTTCTATTGTGCGCAGGGCCTTATTATTACTCATGTAATAGCATGGAAGAGAACAAAAACATGTAATATTACCCTATGAGATTTGATACACGAAAATGGGATGATCATTCTCAGATTCCTCTCTGGTGTAAAAACATAAAATATTCCATTCCTAAAGATGTATAGTCGTTTTGAATATAGTAGTTACTTTTTAACAATAAATCATTGTCCTAAAAATGGAACATGAATGGGCGTTCAAGTCAACAAAGCGGTTGACCTGCTCGCTAAGTAAATGAATATGATTGGTTGTTACTGTAAGAGATAAGCGACAATCCGAGAAAAATATCAAGACGCTCCGAGATTTGAACCGAAGCCTAGTCTCCTCTATATTGGTAGACTTCCGTACTGCCATCGAACCATACAGTTCTAGACCCCTATTCTTGAAAAAAAACTTATACGAAAAATTAGGAAAGTACTATATAATACATAACATATACTGTATTTCCTTAGACTTTCGTTGTTTCTTTTCAAGAATAGGGGCCCTGATGCTGGAGTCTTATGCCGCGTATTACGTAATCAATTAGAAGCGATCCGCTGCGATTTTGTATTTTACTGATTACTGATTGGTTACGTGGTTACGCGATACGCGGCAAATATGCTTCATAGGATTCCAGCATGACCATAGACTTATAGCGAATTCGATTGGACGCTCATTGAACTCAGTGCGCACTAGTGCACATTAAAGTTGTATACAAAATAACGTGAAGATATGTTTATAAATAAACATAGAAATCAATTAAATCGTGAAATACTCAATACATTTTATTGTACTTTAGATAAAATATATATTTTATAATTCAAAATATTAGCAATTCATTTTTATATTCAAATTAAATCAGTGTACAACAATATGCACCAGTGCGCACTAGTTCTTTCAATCGAATTCGCCAATAGTCTTTATGACCATGGTCCGATTAATAGTGACAACGATTGTGAGCATCGTTTATCTTCGTTTAACATTTAACAAACAAGGATGAAATGATTTTTAAGCGTGTGAACAGAACCGCGGCCTAGACCGAGCATTCGAGAAGTGGGGGCAGTTCTCATGCTGGCCCAGATGTATTCTCTCTCGTTCGCGCATGCACGAGAGAGAACGCACCTGAGCGCGACCGACTATGAGTGCGTTCTTTTCTAAATGCTACCTCTACTCCCCAAATTTCTAACAATGCTCGATCTAGAGATACTAGCCAGTATTCATAGTCGATTCTTATATTCAAGACCATCTTAAGTTTTGTCTTGGAGGTATCATGAAACAATCAGAGGGTCGCATTAGCGTCTTAAGACATTACTTAAGATAGTCTTAAAATAAGAACTGACTATGAATACTGGTCTATATCTATGAGCATGCTGATGGCTTATTTGTTGTGTCTATTTTCTGTAAATTTCTTGGGGCACATTCACACCTTGACAGAAAAGCAGTCTAATCAGAACTCGCGCTGGTAGTAAGTACAAAAAGCCAAAATTGTCGACTATCAACATGAGCTTTAATCAGCTGTTGCTTTTTCGCTTTCTACTTTTCCGACAAGATGTGAACGCACCTTTACATTACTTATAAACCCAACCAATCACATTTAATCGCTTGGCGAGCAAGCTAGCAGCTTTGTTCGACTTGAACGCACTCATTGGGTACATCCAAAAGCATGATTGCTTACTGAGCACTTAGTCAGCTCTTGCATTTGATTGGTATACGTATTGGATTGGTATTGGTATCCATTAGATTTAAAAATAAGATCAAACACTCTTATACACTCGCAGATAAAAATGTCTTAGTCTGAATCTAATCAGGTATTTTAGGTCTTAAATCATAAAAAGAATTGATCAATTGAATGCGAGAAGAATAATTAACTATGATTCGTTCATTTCTTATGGCTTAAGATTTAAAAACCTATTGTAGATCCTGGCTTACACAGTGTAATCTTCCTGGTGCACCTAATGCTACCATGTGCATTTCACTAATTTTGGGGGAAGTATTTAATTGGTTGTTCTAATTTATTCTGCCGCCATTATGCACAATGGAATACAGTTTCTGATAAGTTGAAATTTTTATTCTCTGTTCCCTATTCTCTATTCCTTTGATTATGCGTAGTTCCATATTGCCATAATCTGGAAAAATTGATCAATCACTTTCAAGTATTCCCTTTCTATAGTCGAATGAGAGGAGAATACTTGACTGTGATTAATCAATTCTTATAAATTATGACATATGGCATACGATTATGACCAATAAACACTCCCTAAAGGTGTGCAACGACATGATGAACGCGTTCACCGCATTGAACAGTTGAGAGAATATTTACTATGCCAACCACAGAGTAATAAAAAGGAAATCAAACTCGAGGTCTGAAAGTAAGCTCGAAACATGGTGTCGGAAAATCCAAATGGAAAATTAGGCTGATGTGATTTTAGTCCATTACGCCTTGTGGAGAAAGTATTGACTATCATGTGATCATAGGGGGTCGATTCTGTATCTTGAAACGAGATGAAAATTATAAAAGTCAACGAATTTATTAATACTGATAATTTCATAGGTCAACACCTAGTAAATTTACTCACTTTTGAAATTTTCACTTTGTTTCAAGATATAGAATTGATCCCCAGGTCACACTATGGACCTGAGCACAAGAATTGTCGTAACACTTAGACTCGTATTCATAGGAGCCTTATATTTAAGGCTTTCTTAAATTTATCTTTAGATACTCTACGAATTATTTCTTTGGCTGCTGAGCATCTAAAGATAAATTTAAGGAAGCCTTAAGTACAAGGTCTGATTATGAATACGAGTATAAGTTAAGACCTTAAACATCCTTACGATGTATGTTTATATCGACCTTTGACTTACAATTTTGTTGGAAACAATTATGACAAACTTATATGTTGACTTACGACTCTGTCGAAAATAGTTACGACAATCCACGACATCTTTGTGCTCAGACCCTATGTATGTATCTACTACATACGTGTGACCACGTGACACTAATCTTCCAACTTTTTCCACAAGGCATGCTGGTATTAATCACATCTGCTGAATTTTCCATAAGTTTCACCATTTCAAGTCCACTTTTTTTTGTGATCGACCGCTTGAGTTTAATTTCCTTCTTATTACTCTGTGAAATGCAACGCTTTTGGATGCAATCTACTGATTGCGTTCAGCAGTCTCGACAATTAAGTGAACGCTCACTGCTATTGATGTATTCTTCCAGATCTAAAATGCTGATTGGATGATTTAAAAGAATATACCAATAATAGCGAGCGCTCAGTGAGCTCTTTCATTTAATTGATCTATATTTTAAGATCTAACGGAATGTACTAATTAGATGAAAGCGCTTATTAAGTGCTCAATGAACGGTTATCATTCTGAGTGCACCCATTGAACTCTATCAATGAGTTCTTGCATTTGATTGGCATATTCTGTTAGATCAAAAAATATAGACCAAGCAGGTGCAAGAGTTCACTGAATGCTGAAGTGAGCAATTATAGTGATTGCATCCATTGGAAATGATGGATTGACTCGCGACTTAATAGGCCAATGGGAGTAGATTGTAACAAAGATTAGGAAAACGAATTTGTGTGATCCACTTAGATAAAAGATCCGCAGCGCGCGATGATAACAATGATAATAAACGAGTCCATCAATACCGATAAAAAGGGCGAATTTTAGACGGCAATATAGACAAATCAATCGGCAGCGACGGCAACTGGCAAGGTGCTTTGAGCCATTCTGAGGTGCTCAGAGCTGGCTGGTGGATATCGCAAGGCATGCCGCGCGATAACTTTCACTCGTTGATCCGTTGACCCGTTAGTATCAATAGGAAAGTCGTAGCAGTAGAAAGGAAACAGTACTTCCGTACTGATCGTGATCCCTTCCGAGTTCTGTTTTTCCGGAAGCGAGCGTCGCACAGACTTGTGCACCCGCAAAACAGCATAGAGCGGGTCTATGGACTTTTTCTCGTACAGGAGTCTCGAGTCTCGGGTACGACAGCTACTGTGTACAACTGCGTCCGCATGCGTAATAATTGTCTCCTTACTCGACGGGCCGATCGAAATATATTGTCCGACCAGAGAGCACTCTCGGGGTATTCCGCGAAGGAAGGGATGTTGCTGTAATGGCCGCCGTGTCATTCATTTCAATGAAGGTACCGAGCCAATTTTGTGGTGCCACAATGGAGGATAGCTGCAGCCCCGCGTCTCAGAATCACAACGGCCAGCTGGCCGGCGGCGCGAACGTTTCTCTCACTAATAACAAGCATCAGGGCGGCAGCGACAATGGCAGCAACGGCGACGCCAAGGACCAGCGGCCGCAGTACTCGATGCCTGGCATCCTGCACTTCATTCAACACGAGTGGGCCCGCTTTGAGCTTGAGAGATCACAGTGGGAATTGGACAGGGCGGAATTTCAGGTACGGGCTTCCGTAATGACGATGCGGTGCTCGTGAATCGTACGCTAGACAATCGTCCACCTTATTGTCACCTTAGCTGTCATGTGACGGAAGGAGGCACATAAGGAAGTATAGAATGAACTTGCATTGCTAATGCAGATAAAACGCATTAACAATGCAATAGAACGTGTTAACAATGAGCACTGTGAAGTTTCAGCATGTACACTTATTGATGTTAATATTGTTTCGATTTATCTTAACTCTGTCAAAAGCGTAGCAAGTGTTTCTTTTTTTTTTTTTGGAGTTACCCCAACTTTTTGATGTTTACACATAGAATATATGAGGAAGTTGCAAAAGTAACACTGCCACATTGATTTTTTCCTGGTATTACACAGGCTAGGATAGCTTTTCTTCAGGGTGAAAGAAAAGGACAGGAAAATTTGAAGAATGACCTTGTGAGGAGAATAAAAATGTTAGAATATGCACTTAAACAAGAAAGGTAAATAAATAGTATTTAATTATGGTAATATTATTCAATACATTGATGGTTGTATCATTTGCATCATTTGTATATGAATGACATTCTTTGTTTTTGAGAATAATTTCATTTAAATAGGAATGCATCAAATTTTTGTAAAAAGTCCTGTTTTCAATAATGTCATTTTATAGTCAAAAAGATAAAATTAATTAATTTATAAAAGAAAACATGTTTAATTTTCTGAAAGTTTTTTTTTTTATAAAATTATTCATATATGAATAATACATATGAATAAATCGGCAGTCAATGTTAAAGAGGAATCTTAACAGATATTTTTGCTAGCATTAAATTTCATCTTTATATATAATATGTATATACATTTTAATAAATAATATTGGTATGTATATTATGCAGGATATTGTAATCAGTAAAGGCTACAACAACATTTAAGGGTAGATTTCTGAAATTTTGAGATAAAAATCCTAATACCAAAATATTGAGGTAATATGATTTTTTGAATTATAAGTATTTAAAGTTAATAAATCATATCGCCTAAAGTTTGCATTCATATATGATAGATAAATAAATGCTAATAAAAAATGTCAATCACACTTAAATGCATTAACATTAAGCGATATGATTCGTTAATTTTAAATGCTTATAATTCAAAAATTAATACAATAATATTATTATTACTTAATATTTTGGTATTAGGATTTTTGTCTCAAAATAATTTCAGGAATTTACCCTTAAACATTGATAGTCTTTATTAAATATTCTGTATATAATTGTAAAAGAAATATTTCTTTATTTATTAAAAGAATACATTAATATTATATATTATACTTTCATAAATTATGATTATTATGTTCACAATGTGAAATTAGATGAATTTGATTTGAATTTATTAAAGTTTCCATATATACATAAAATTGAGAAATACAAACATACATATGCTGCAGAATTATCATTAGACTGATTGCGTCTATGCTTTATAGTAACATTTAGTACAATGATCTTATGCTACTTTTTGTAATTTCTACAGAGCGAGGTATCATAAATTAAAATATGGTACCGACT